AATGTCCATTAACTTGCATAGGCTGTTTATCTCTGGCCAATCTTTGCTGATGGACATTTGAAACTTCCTCCATGTGTCTTGTATTTGTTGGTTGGTGGTTATTCATTCGATCCAAAAAGGATGTTGTCCACCTTTCCATCGTGTTCATTAACTGTTGTTCCATGGCATCTACTAAGCCACCCCATGGATTTATTGGCTGAGTAGATGGAACAGTGGATGGTCCAATTCTTTAGTCTCGTCTAATATTATGAACATGTGATACTTGTTTTGAAGTGCTGATCTGTTCGACCATAGGTTCTGATAAAATGGGAGTTTCCACAGGATGTTTTATCACATTATCCTCTGGATTAGGTATCTCTACCTCTCCTTCCACGCCTTCTTCCAAGCGTTCATTTTCTCCTTGTCTCCTACGTCTAGCCTTTTCAATTAGTCCCACCGGGCTTGCCAAAAATTTATGTTGGCTTTTTGGCTTTCGAAGGTTATTTTTTCTAATTACGAGCGTGCCAGCAAGGATCAATCAGTCCTTACAGAAAATTAATTGCCAATCAGACAATTGTGCTTTAGTTCTTTTAGTTTCAATGAAGAAGACTTTTACTGTTGGCTTGATTTAGGAGAATTAAGCAAGATAACAATTAAATGAAGAACAATTGAAGCATTTTATCAAAATGAAAAACTTACACTAATCCAAACTCAGCCTCGTAGAGGTTTACAGCAACAATCTACTACTTGAAACTACTCATATGAACGAAGTGCAGAGCAGGAATTTAAAGTACAGGAAATGTAAGACTCGAAATGTAAAACTGGAAAGGAAAATAAGTAGAATAAGACTGATTTTTTAGATCTGAGTCTGGGGCTCTTTTTTTGGGCCTTCTCTGTTATTTATACTTTTCAAGGATGACCATCGAACTGTATTTCCAACCATCAAACTGCTCCTCCATGATCGCTGATTATGTTGCCTTATAATTAGCTCCACTGTGTCATCACTTGTAATTAGGCTTCCCTCCTAAATTTAAATTTAAATGTGAGTAACCGTTGAAACCACATCAACTTGCATCTCTTTGTTGATCTACTGCTACTCAGATCTCGCAATAAACAATATTAACTGTCACGTGTACGATCAGGATCGAAGACTTGAATAATCTTCATGTATTACCCTTATTCTGCCACGTGTCGAATTGTAATTGGCTTGTACAAAATATGTAGCCAACAAATGCTAAATATTTTTTGTGATTTTGACACAAATTTTTTGTTCTATACCTTCAAAAAAATTTCGTTGAATGAAAAAAATATATATAAAAAGTCCCAAATAATCTAATGATATTTATTAATTAATTAATTATTGACTTTGGGGCTGAAAATCTCAGAGCTGGGCCTTCTTGTGGGCCTATTACTCTTTTAGGCAGTAACTCGACAACTTTTTAAAAAGTTAAAAAAAAAAAAAAAACTATTAATCATGTTTGCCATAAATTAAAAAAAAGTAAAAAAATCGCATAAATATTTTCATTCATAAAAAAAAAAATTACTTTATCTAAAGTTGTCCAAACACACTATTAATTTTTTTAGGTTTTGAAAAAGCTAAGAAATTATTGAAAAAACTATTTGGCTAAGGCATTTTAACTGACAACAAGTGTGTAGAAAGCAAATTTTTAAACAAAATTCATCTTTATTTACAACTGCTAAAAAAATTACATATTAAAAAAAAATTATTTGGCTTTAGATTGTTTTTTAAAAAATTGAATTAATTTGTTTTCCGAAGTAATTCTAGTCTATAAATGTTTAAAAAGTTTTTTTAAAAAAAATTAAAACTTTATCCAAAAAAAAAGCAGCTTACTTAAACTTCCTAAATAACAAAAAAATAACATTTTAAACATTTGTCAAATGCATCTATCAAGTTTTTAAATAACAATTTTATCCTAGAAAATTAAAAATGCTATTAAAGAAACAATTGTTAAACCCAACATAAATATCAGTCACATTTCTCCATTTTTGAGTAAATATTTTGACAAATAGTTTTTAGGCATTATAAATTTCGACAAACTAAAAAATAGGTAGAATAAAATAGTTGGAATCTTTTAGCAATTCAGAGGATCAAAATCCGATCAAAATCGTAAATTACATGTATATGTTTGAACTTTAGGGTACAATACGGAGAAAAAGCAAATTCCGTAGATGTAGAAAATCATAAATGAATGCGTCCTCTTTCTCTCTCTCTGGATCAGAAGAAAACAACAAACAGAGAGAGAAAGAGCAGCAGAGGTCCGAGTATCTCTCTCTCTCTATATATATATATATATATACACACACTAATGGTGGCACACATGATATGTGTACAATTTAAATAAGTAGGAATAAAAAAAAATAATAATGAAATTAATATTATAATGTGTACTTAATTTAAGTGGTATGAGTCCTCATACTTAAACCCATGATCATGGGTTCAAGCCTTGCCCATCTCTTTGTTTAACTTTTTTTAAAAAAATAAAAAACACTGTCACATGGCATGAGGAGAGTAAAGTTTCAGATAAAAAACACTGTCACATGGCATGAGGAGAGTAAAGTTTCAGGACACCATAAGAGGTGTTCACTTTATAGTAGTGTAGATAGATATATATAATTTATCTTTTAAAGTTCTATCTAAAAAGTTTTGTTATAAGAAAATAAGTGAGAGCATTAATTAGTGCTATCACTAATGACGTGATAATGGGTCTCACTAAAAATGATTTGATATTTTGGTCTTGGTGTTGTATTTTTTTTCTTTTTTAATTGAGTGTCATGTCATTAATGGTCTTTTTAAAACTCCAAAATTAATAATCTCTATCATTGTTGTTTTATAATATGATACTGTTATCATCATAATAATTGAAACCCATATCTTCACTCCTCACCACATGCTATTCCAAAAGTTTGAAAAATTATTCAGTGAGTTTGGTTTGAGTTTTTTAATTTTTGTATTTTTTTGTTTTTTGTGAATATTTTTAAAATTTTAAACATTTTTTTTACTTTTTTAGATGCATCTTACTTAGATATATCTAAAAAGTAAAAAAATTATGAAAAAATATTTTTAAAAATTAATAAATACATAAAAATACAAAAAATGTATTGAATTTTTATATTTTTTTATATTTTTGGTATTTAGTGAATTTTTAAAAGATTATTTTTTTTATTAATTATTATTTATTATATTTTTTTAATTATTTAACAGAAAATCATAAATATTATCTTATCAATTAATTATAATGCTCTTAAAATATTAGCTGACCGTACTCTAAGAATACTCAAAAAAAAAAAAAAAGAAAAGAAAAGAAGCTCTCAAAATCTTTCCTATTTTTGCAACTTCAATGAGAGAGAGAGAGGGAAGAGAACTGTTAAATTTCCCTCATGCTTGTTAGGTACATTAACTCAGCTAAAGTAAGTAATGCCAAGTACATTTTATAAAATTTGACATACTTTAATTAATTCAAAAAAATTCATATCGAAGTTGAAAAGAAGTACAAAAATAAGTGGACATTTTAGTTTTGCCAAACGAAAGGTCTGTTTTCTGTTGTCAATTTTTCCCCCCCCAAAAAAAAACATGTTTGATGAATCGCTTTCAAAAACAGTTTTTGAACATTGATGGGATTGTTTTGAAAACACAAAAAAAAAAATGAAACAGAACCACCAGAACCAGAAGGCCATAATATTTTTACTGCATATATAACAATTACAAAAACAAGTACGGAGCTCAAAAATCTTTGAGCTGTAGCACCAGTTCATTGTTAACATTTATTTTCTCTGTTTCTTTCTTTCTGTTTTATTTCCTTTTTCTTTTGTTTTTATGGGTAAGGAAAGAAACAATATCACATTTTTTTTTAAACTAATTTTTCTACACAAAAAAGTTACAATCTCAAAAATTTGGGACCCACAATTACCTAGAAATGAGTATACGGTAAAAATTGAATTGATAAAGTGAAAAGTTTACTTATAAAATGAATCTAAGGCTTGGTTTGGGAAGTGGGTTGGCTTTTTGACTTTTTGGCTTTTTTGGCTATTTTAGCCTGGGCTTAAAAGCTTGGTTTGGGAAGGGCTTTTTGGCTTTTTGGCTTTTTTGAGTTTTTTTATGAGAGAAGAATGTAATGATTATGGGTTGGATGTGATGTTTTGTTTGTTATGGTTAAAATAGCCTATTTTGTTTTTTGTTACTAAAATAGCCAAAAAAACCTGCAAACTCACTTGCCAAACACAGGCTAAGTCATTAATATGAAATTCGGAATATATTTTCTGTAATAGTATTGATTTTTCAAATGCACGTAAATCTCAACTTATTTCTAGACTCATTTCATTTATTGAAATCTATGTTTTGATGACACCTCTTCACCTTTAAATGTTTTCAAAAATATTTTTTTTACAATAAATTAATTAAAATCAAATTTTCAAAATATGAATTTAATAAAGTCTTGTTTTAACTCAAGTTCAAAGTTGTGTTTTCGAAACCTTCGTCGGTAAAAATATAACTCGAGGTTAAAGTCAAAATATGGCTTTAATCTCAATTGTTTTCTTTTGTTTATTTTCTTATTATTAATAACCTTGGACGGATCAAGGAGGGTAAATTCGAGATACATACAATCACCTCACAGCCTCATATATTGGGTGAGAAATAGAGTGTAAAGATTTGAAATTTTCAAATTTAGGCAAACTGTACACAATATTAAGAATGTAAGTTCGAATCTCCACTTATGTGCAAGTCCATAACTTACAGTTATATGGTTGAACTCCCTGCTATGTAACAACTACCTAAAAATGACCTCTGAAACTTCAATTCCTTATAAGATCTAACTCCAAAAATTATTCCCATATGATTAAACCATTTTAAGATTTTCAAACTTAAAACTTTTCTTCATAGAATTGGAACAATTTACTACACGATCAAGTTGTCACATTTGCGTTGCCCAAGTTTTAGTTCAAGAACAAATGAACCCAAAAACAACGAAGATGGATAAAAGTAGAAAAATGCTATAAGTTCAAATAATTTATCAAATTTTTTATCAAACATTTGACATGCATGCGAGACCCAACAAATTAACATGGGTAAGTCCCACATTTAATAGAAAATTTGGTCTGCTTAGCATAACTCATACAAGTATATATACTTAACAATTTAACAATTTCACCTAAAAAGAGTATAGAATTAGCTTTATCTTAGTTACAGCCTTTCATGCAATCTTTCTCATAATATCACTTGCATTAATGCAAGTCAAAAAATCATAAGCAAAAGAGAGACAGAAAGAGAGAGGATCCCTCTTGAGATGAGAGTCTCAAACAGAACTTGCATTTCCAACTTCCCCTGTCTCTCTTCTCACATGGCTGCACCTGCATGAGTAAATATATATGTATATATATATGTCAATATACACAAAGAAGTTGAAGAAATGCGAGACCATATTTATATATATAATTAAGTAAACAGTGAACACTTGTTTTCATGCTTTTGTGTTGTTTTGTTTGTTGAATTGAGCCGATTCAAATTTTCTCTCAAGGCATGAAAAGCTTGTTGCGACACTTGCAACGCCAAGCTTCTGGGTAGTACTCTAATGGCATACTCAGACCGGGTTGAATCGGCACGTGAACCGGTTTACAAGGCGTACACTTCCCACACTTTGATCTACACGTCGGCGGTGACGATCCAGGCCCGCCGAGTCTCCGCCGAATCATCACGACTCGCCCAAAAACCTCCAACCCACTCGGCCTCTTCCCTTCTTCTCCCTCCTCTCTCACTCCCCCACCTAACAAAACAACACCCAACAAACAAACAAACAAACACACACAAAACTGTTTAATAATTAGTACTGAGTTACGATCACAACAAGCACTTGGGTTTTGTTTGGGTTGTGTACTTACTGAGTTGCCGAGTTGGGTTGAGTGAAACAGCTGAAGCGGAGGCGAATAAGAGGAATGCCAGTGCAGTTACAGTGGCAAACGACAGCCTCTGCTTGTGGCGGCGGCGGAGGCGGAATACGGCCATCGCCGGGCTGGTGTGTGTAAGTTTGTAAAGTCAAGAAATTGGGAAAAAGATTTGTGAAGCTGATCTGAACGTGTAAAAGATAAGTAGTAGAAGAAGAAAAAAATTGAGGACTGGGAAGTGTTAAGCTATGATTGCTGGTGTTGCGTGCTGAAAGATCAGGGTAAGTATTCAGTACCCAAATATTAGGTCAAGTTTGGAAAGACTAAAAAAGTGTACTTTTTGTCTTTTTGGACTAAAAAATTGAGGTTGAAAATATGGATGTTTGGGTTAACTTTTTGACTTTTTATTGAAAAATGTGTAATAAAAAATTGTAAAAATTGATTTGTAGGACAAAATTTGAATTGGGAGTTGTGCAGCCGTAATTGTTGACTTTTGGTGAATAGTGTTAACTTTTTAACTTTTTGAGTAACTTTTTGACTTTTTGACTTTTTTTAAAGTCCCCAAACTTGGCCTTAATGTGTACTCCCAACAAATAATATAGAAAAAATTTATAAGAGGCAAAAAAATCAGTTCACTAAGGGGCATTTTGACAAGTTGGCAAAAAATTAGGTTGCGCTTCATAGAATTTTTTAAATATGATGTAAAAATAAGAGTTGTGTTTTGAATTTGTAAATTTTGAAATTATTATTTGAGTGTAGAAAATTTATTTGGTGAATAAATTTTGAAAAGAGTTTTTGAGTGATGTGACATAATTTTTAGGGCAAATTATACAAATAGTCTCTATAGTTTGGAGCTTGTATCACTTTGGTCCATGACTTTGCCTCCGTTTGGGAAGTGGGTTGGCTTTTTGGCTTTTTGGATTTTTTGGCTATTTTAGCCTGAGCTAAAAAGTTTGGTTTGGGAATGGCTTTTTGTCTTTTTGGTTTTTTTGACTTTTTTTGTGAGAGAAGAATGTAATGATTGTGGGTTGGATGTGATATTTTGTTTTTTGTGACTAAAATAGCCTATTTTATCTTTTGTGGCTAAAATAGCCAAAAAAGTCCCGTTTAGCTCTTGCCAAACGGAGCCTTTTTAATTGTGACACATTTGACCCTGAATTTTTAATCTTGTTCCAAATAAGGACAATTGAATATATAATTAGATTTTTTAAGGGTAAAATTGTCAATTTGATAAAATATAAACTAGTTTGACAAAAAAAAATGTCAAACAAATATTTTTGAATTTTAAAAAATTATTTCTACCTACTAAAAATAAAATTATGTAAAATTGATAAATCTTTTAGACATTTATTTATTTATTTATTTATTTTTATCAAATTAATTTTTATTATGTGTTTAGATGATGATCATGTAAAATTAATTTTTAAAAATTAATCATGTAATTTTTATTAATTTTACATAATTTTATCATTGGTGGAAAAAAATAATTTTAAAAAAATTAAAAATATTTTTTTGACATTTATTTTTGTCAAATTAGTTTATATTTTATCAAATTAACGATTTTACCCTTGAAAAATCTAATAATATTTTCAATTGTCCTTATTTGGAACAAGATTTAAAATTCAGGGTCAAATGTGTCACAATTAAAAAGTCAGGGACCAAAAGTGACACAAGTTCCAAACTATAGGGACTATTAGTTTAATTAACCCTAATTTTTATACAAAAACTTACAATTTATAACCAAACACACGATCAAAAATTCTATTCAAAACTCATAAAAAATTATAAAAAAAAAATTGAAAATATTTTTTATTTAACATATAAAAATAACAAGTGTAAAAAAAATAAAAAAGATTCAAGAACACCGTTCCAGTCAATCGGCCGGACGTTGGGGGGACATCCGGGTTCACGAATTTTCAAACGCGGGTGTGAAAATGTGTTTTGAAAACCGTAAACAAATGTCACACTCAAACTAAAGGGTAGAATCATGATTCAAAAGCGGTACCAAACACAGTCTCAATTTTTTAATTTTTTGACCTTTTTATGTCGCATCAATTCCTGCAATTTTTTTTTACATAAAAAAAAAACTAAAAAAGTCACCCAAAAAAAAAGTTAAAAAGTTAACTTTTTATCAACTTTTCAAAACATTACTACATCATCGTTTGGGATGAGTCAATTTGGTATGATTTTTAATTTTTTCATTATTTTAGTTTGATTAAAAAGGTTGTCGTTGGAATAAATTTTAATTTTTTAAATTGATTTTATGATTGTAAGAAAAAAAATAAAATAATTAAAATTTAAATGTAATATGCATTATTGGCTAAATTAGCATATTTTGTCTTTATTGGCTAATTTAGCCAAAATAGCTCATACCCAACGAAACGCCTTTATTTGGGAATAACTTTTTAATGTGACTTTTTGGTTATTTGACTATTTTAACTAGCCTAAAAAAAATTGTGTTTTCAATTATGATTAGTTTTTTTTTAGTTAATTTGATAATTATGAGAGAAAAAATAAAATCATTATGACTTATATGTAATATTTTATCTTATTAATTAAAATAATCTGTTTTATTTTTATTGGCTAAATTATTCCCATCCCAACTTTGTCAGTTCCGATTGGTAGCTTGAAAACAAGACTGCTCAAATATCCCGAGTCTAAAATAACGTCGTTTCGAATATTTTTTTTTTTTTTTTTTTTTTTTTTTTTGAAGATGAAGAACACAGAGTGAGTATAGCGCCACGTCAAACGGAATTTTTTTGTGAAAAACATTTGTGAGGATTAAATCATTTTCCAATCACTAAATTTTCATTTTCTTTATGTCTTAAAATATTTATAATTATTAAATTATTAATAACCTTAAAATACAAGAAATTTAAGACATGATCTCATGAAACGACGTGCTATTTTGACAATTGAATTAAAAGTCAACTTTTTTACTTCTAGTTTTTTTTTGGCACATCATTTCTCTATTTTCTTTACAAGTTTTTTTTATAAAAAAAAAATTAAAAACTGATTTTTCACCTACTTTCTAAAGTAGGCTGTACCTTTTGGAATGTTATAATAAAGAGTTGTAATGTATGCTATTAAAATAATTGAATTACTAATCATCTTGTTTGGTTCTAATTTTTAAATTTAATTTTTTTAAATTAAAATTATTTTTTTTTATATTTTTGGCTTTTAATGAATTTTTTTAATATTTTAAGCATTTTTTTTTAATTCTTAGATGCACTTAACTAAGATGTACCTAAAAAGTAAATATTTATAAAAAAAAATAATAAATACACAAAAATATAAAAATGAATTGAATCTTCATATTATTTTTTTTTTATATTTTTGATATTTAGTGAATTTTTTTTAAAAATCACAAATATTATACTTTTTAATTGTATTTATATTAAGTGTATCTAAAAAGCAAAAAAAAAATGCTTAAAATATTAAAAAAATTCACTAAAAATAAAAAAAAATAAAATACAAAAAATAAATTCAATTGTTAAAATATTGCAAAACACATGAGATAGGTCATTGATCATGCTCGTCCAATTTATAACGGTCATTATATATACATATTTAATAGTTTTATTTAAACGTTTAGTGTAATTTATATTTTAAAATTTACAAGATAAAAAACTTAAATATATTTTTAAAATAATAACTAATTATTGAGAAGCTATTTAGTTTTGTCTTAAATTTGCAAGAAGTTGTTTCAAGTAGACACATTCTTCTTCTTCTAGTAGCTATTTAGACAAAAAATATATATATATATATATTATATGAATTACATTTTAATATTATATTATACTTATATGATATGATATGATATTAATGTAATGAATCTATCATTAATATATAAAAAATAATATACAAGTTCATTTTTTTTGGCATATTTTTTAAATTCAATGATATGCAACTAAGATGATTAGAGAATATATATATATATATATATAAATTATCATCATTAAATTTAAAAAATATTTTTTTTTATTGGAATAACAATGCCCTTAATATACTATTATGTTCAATATAGCACTAACAATAACAAAACATAAGTGGTTCAAAAAACGTAACAAAAGATAAGTGATACCTTTCTAAAATGTAAGATAAGATAAGATAAAAAAAATAAATACTAAAAATTAGAACATTATTCTAAAGTTTATTATAGAGGAGAGAGAGAGAGAGCGAGAGAGGAGAGAAAACCATCTATTAAAAATAAATTAATAAATTATAAATATACCTTCTAAAATTTGTTTAAAATACAGATTGTTTTTTATAGTTTGAAAAATTATAAATACCCACTTATTAGAATTTTTTATTTAACAGAATTAATTAAAAAAATAAAATTCATAATTACTCTTCTATACAATAATAAAACTACTTAAATTATTAATTAAAATATATTTTTAACATCATTAAAAATTGTTAATTATTTTAATAATTCATTAATAAAATGGGTCATTTATTATGAAATTAGAAATTTTAAAAGTGAAATATAATTTGCAAAACGACTGGAGCGGTTTGTATTTTAATCAAATTTTAAACAATGTATTTGTAATTTAAAAAAAAAAAAAAAACAGAGGGAGAGAGAGAGAAAGATTTGTTTGTTCTAGAAGACGATGAGCATGGTGGTCGCGGGGAGGGAGGATCTTCTCTTTGTAGTTTTCGTGCTTGTGCCCGGTCTCGCAGGCCTTTGGGTCTACTTTTAGGCCCAATTTTGATAATCTGAACCGTTCATATTTTATGATTTGTTCAGTATATCATACTTGTAAAAAATCAAGTTGATCGGATATCAGAAAACATATGTTCGGAAAACTGTTTATTAAATTCTTTAAAAAATAGTGTTTAGTTCAATTTTTCAAACACATACTTTCTGATATCCGATCAACTCGATTTTTTACAGATATGATATACTGAATAAATCATAAAATATAAACGGTTCGGATTATCAAAATTGGGTCTAAAAGTAGACCCGAAAACCTGCAAGGACGGACGCAAGTACAAACTTGCAAGGTGAGGCCCCTGACTTGGTGGTGGGGCCAAGGAGTTGGACTGATAGTGATGGACAATTGAGAATGCCCTTGATGATGGGTGGTATTACGAGAATGCCACTGTGAGTGAAATTGAATTTGAAAACGATGGAAGAGGAGGGGGGATACGAGGAATGATAAACGCCTATTTGATTTTTTAATTATTTTAATATTTTTTTATAATTAATTTGTCAGTTATGGAAGAAAAAAATAAAATAATTATAAATTAAATATAATATTTTATTTTATTAAATAT